TGAACCTCACTGCAGGACCACTGTAAAAGCTTTAAAGCTCTGCGGCTTGAAGGAGACCTGCAGACTGAACACACATAAGGGCTATAGAGAGCTCTGAGCCCAAACCTGCTCAGTAATCCTGTATGCCTCTCTAAAACCTCTTACAACAACGGATATTCCTCCTGTCTAAAGACCACCAGCAGAGAAATATCCTCAGGTCATGGTCACACCTGTAGACTTACAAATAAGAGGACTTTGCTGAAAATAAAGGGCTTCCATTAGAAAACGCTTCCCAATAAAACACTTTATTCTTGAGGAATAAAGTTATTCTTATACTTTTGGTCCTGACTGTGATGGAGAGATATCCTGTATCTGCTATGAAGTTTTGATTGAGTGTCTTTGACTAGTGCTCTAGTTTAGTATCCTTCAAAACCACAAGATATCAAAGGCAAATCTTTTCGGAAAGTCTTTTTGGAGATTGCATTGAACTACAAACTACAAACCTTTCAGTTTTTTAAAACCCTGGAAATAGATCAAATTAGACAGTTCAAACTAGATTTATTTTATTGTATTCTATTTTTTGAAGAAAATTCTTGTAACATGTATTGAACAGTGTTAGTATATTTTCATTATCATTACTGACAGTATTATTTTATTTTATTTAAATATATTTTACCATTTAAATATTATAAATAAAATAAAAATATTTAAACATTATTATTATTATAGTGGTTTATTTCATTTAATTTTGAAACGTGAATTAAAATACATTGTTGTGCATATAATTTTAACATGGTTTATCATTATTTAAATTAAAAATGATTCATTTAAATATTTACAAATAAAATAAAAATGAATTATGTATTATAATACAAATACTATTTATTGAACATTGTTAGTATTATTTTCATTATCATTACATGCAGCTTACTATTATTATCGTCATCATTTTTTATTTAATTTAAATATTTGTAAACAAAGGTATAAAATATATTATTTATATTATTATGCTATTTTGTTTTAAAATAGTACATTTAAAAAGTAAATTACAAATACATTGTTATTATAATATTAATTGTATCATTTTATCTAAATGAACTTATTTAAATGTTTTTAATTAAAATAGATTAATATTTATTATAATATAATAATATTTATTATAATATATAATACTATTTTATTTATACTAATGAAAACATTAAACGATCATATAATATTACAAAAAATTCTAATATAAATATTTTATTTCTATTTTATTTCAATCAAGCCAACAAGGTACAAAAATGAAAACTTGAAATACTTGAGTAAATAAAGTATTTAGCAGTAAAAAGCTATTCTGATTATTCTTGACTGTATAGTGCCTGAAGACCACAAACACAACATCAGTCTTTCTACCTATAAAACTGCACTGATTTTCAGTCGATGCGTTTCTATTGCACATCATGCGTCTGGTCGATATATTGTGATAAATATTACACTTGTCACCAAGCCCAATAATTGAACTATAATCATTACCTAGGGACACTGATCAATGGTCTCCATCAATGCTGATAGTTCTGGGTTCAGCTCACGGGGGGATATCTCCTATCAGAGCTCATCAGTGTGGTCAGCCTCTTGTGAAAGAAGAGACCTAGAGCATGATTGAAGAGAGAGAGCAAGAGAGAATTCAAGACAAGCTACTGAAGCTCTGTGAGCAGAAAAGCTCCATGTGATTACTTCTGTTCTGCTTCAGAGACAGCAGCCATCATCTCAACACACACACTTTCAGCCAGACACTGTGTGCTCCATTGAGAAAGCATCTATTACAGATGGTAATAAAGGTGTAGACTACATTTTTAAATGAATCAAATTTCACCTGCTCATAAGCGCTGCAGTTTTACTTCCCTTGGCTGAAACATTCCCAGGTTCACAGAACAAATAATGTGGTCTTATCACTCCCTCCTTGTTCTGTATTTCGTGCTAGTCAATCAAAGTTGAACGGCGTAGCTCACAAACGGTATAGGCCAGGAAATTGGATTGAATCTAAACCTGATTCCTCAACCTGGAGCTGGGCAACAGAGTACCAGAGCCTATTGTTTTTTCTGTTCATTCCAACTTGAATTTTCAGCTTTCAGTTTTGAGCACAGTTCAGGAATGAACCGTTTGCTCAACTCTTTCTCTTTCAAATGCCCTTGATGATCCAAAGGTGATGTGTGAAATATCAATGTGACTGTAATTATGATGTCTGAACAGTAGAGGGCAGACATGCAGCAGAAAGAGAACAGCTGTGTAAATGAGGGAGAGAGAGAGAGAGAGCGGTGTTGCTGGGCCAGTGAATCATAAACAATATTAGCAACATACTATTTCCATTGTTCCCCTGAAAAGATTTAATAACCAAACACTGTGTCTGATGAGGCAGAGAATTGTGTTTTTTGTCTGGAAAAAATACATGTTGCTATTACACTGTTTACAGAATTATCAGTTAGAGGACTAACTCACAAATAAAACAATTCTGTCGTCATTTACTCACCCTCATGTCGTTCCAAACCCAAATGTTTTTTCCTTCAATGGAGAAATAAATGGGGAAATGCATCTCGTAACCGACTGTAAATCGGTTTTGTTCCATTAAGAGCTTACGGTTGGTTATACTGGAACACTTTATGAACACAAAAACAAACCCAGCACAAGTTGTGAAAGGAGGGAAATGAAAGGATCAAATATGACGCATGGAAGAAATACTTTATTGTTTTTGTGTTCATCAAGTATTTGTCTTTCCACACACCTTGATGGTTTCGTGAAGTTGCATCAGAAAAGCCCCATAAGAATACTGAAGGACTTTGGAACAACTTGAGGGTCAGTAAATGATTGGTTGAACTGTTCTTTAAAATACAACAAAAAGTTCTGTAAACATGTGCAGATCTAAAATGCTGCATGGCGTTAAACTGCTGTAGAACTTCAACTGCAGATTATAAATGAGCCATGAGGCATCAGCAGATGTGAACATGAGTTTATATCTGCAAATGTGGTTGAGCAGCTATAAATGTAATGTGCATGCAGCAGTCTGATCAAGTCACTAATGTAAACAGACCCCAAGTGCACTTAAAGTTTAATTGCACTTTGTGTTTGTGCAGTCTGAGTGGTTATGTTCATAATTACCATACTGACCAAATCCCATATATTTTTGTATGAAGATAACAATAGTTATTTATTAAATATACAGTACATACAAAAATCGTTGTAGAGGGGATTTGGGTAAGAAAAGTACAGTTACTATGTACTTTGACATATATACATTTACAGTATTCACATATTTATGGGGGTTTGGGGCACTTTTTAGCTGGTTAGTATGTGAAACCAGATTTAATAGCTGAAGACCAGCTTGCTTAGTCTTAGAGATGCTCATCATGGCTACATTTTTTACTGTATTTATCAAAAATACAATGAACCAGTAATATTGTACAATTTAAAATAACTGTTTTCTATTTTTAATATATTTTAAGATGTAATTTATTTCTGTGATGTAAAGCTAAATTACTCCAGTCATCAGTGTCACATGATTCATCAGAAATCATTTTAATATGTTTATTTGCTGATCAAGAAACATTTCTTATCATTGTCAATGTTGAAAACAGTTGTGCTGCTTATTATTTTTATTGAAATGGTGAGACATTTTTTTCAGAATTCTTTGAAGAATAGAAAGTTTAAAAAACAGCATTTATTTGAAATAGAAATAATTTGTAACATTATACAATTTCTTTACTGCCACTTTTGATGCATGAATGCATTCTTGCTGAATAAAATTATTAATTATTTTTTTTTATTATTTATTTCATCTATTTAAAAAAATCTTACTCATGATTATATTCTGAAGTTCCTAATCTGCATAACATAAGTCTGCATAACATGTGTTTACAGCATTGCAGGCCGTTCCAAATGAGCGATTATATCAAGTCAAGTAAACTTCTATACACTCTGTTTCAACCCAACTTTGGGTCAAATATGGACTAACTCAACCATTGGGTTAAATTTTTACATTAAATTTTTAACCAAAAAGTTGGGTTAGTCCATATTTGACCCAAAGTTGGGTTGAAACAACCCAGCATTTTTTAGAGTGTAGATACTGTGAATGGGGACGGGTAGTGTTTTTTGTGTCTGTAAGTACACGCGAGTGCTTTTATGTGTGTTTGGTGGCAAGGCTCTCAGCAAACAGTCCCCTACTGTTCTGAGTGAAAGGGTAATTGACTGTGAATGACTCTGGCTTTAATAAACACCTGCTTGCTCTGTTACCGGAGTTGCATCAGTGCGCCTCTTCTAGGCTCTCCAAGCTGCCATTTACAGAAAAACTCAACTGAAGAGCCTCAGGCTCTCTCCATAGCTCATTAATCAGCGTCCGCATTGGACATAAAGTCATTTACTTTTGACAAGCCCCCAGTGTGTGCTGTGTGATAGTGGGCTTGGCATAACAGCGTTAATTGGTAATTTACTGGAATATCCATACGAGAAAGTGCAGAGGACAGAGGCCACAGCTAAGACCAAATGTTTAAAGTGCTATTATGTTTGAAAGAACTCTAGAATGGCGTCGTTTAAACAGCAAATGTCACATTCGAAGGATACAAACTCACACAACATTAAGTATGTATAGGTTCAGATCTTTCAGACAATTACCATGGTAACCACCAAAACACCATAGTTACTGCAATTTCTGCCTTAAACTCACATCACTGGTTGTTGTGTCAGGCTCTAAGAACAGTTAGTCCAAACAATAAAAGTTAATGGGGTGCAAACAACCACACTGGACCCCACAGACTTGTATTGCATGATCAATCAATCAATAGAGACAGACAGACAGACCACCTACAGGTTAAAATGTTGTATTATTTTATTTTATTTTGACAGTGGTGGTAATACCAAGTTAACACGTTCTTGCTCAAGTAAAAATAACTGTAGTAACTTTTTTTTTTTTAAATAACTAATAATATTTTGCTGAAAATTAAGGTTACCATAGTACATTTGTGGAAAGTTAACATTCATTATGAGTCTTTATCAAAATATTAAACAATCTTGTATGTATGTTTGTGCCATTTTGATGGATGCAAGTGTGCTCGCTTTAATGGAATCACCTTGCTATATAAAGACAGATAGAGCGAGAGAATTTGCCCATCAACACGTTTGTCTTCCAGCTCACTGTCTCACAGCTGGAACTGAGAGAGAGAAAAGAGTGGTAGACAGGTAGACAGAAGGAGAGAAGAACAGCAGAGCAGCAGAGAGACAGAAAAAGAGAGTATGTCAACTTTAGAGTTCCACTAGATTCACCACACTGCCAAACTCAACACCCTCAGGGTGACAGGCGGGAGAGCGAGAGAGGGAGAGGAATGGCAATGATGGAGAAACACAGTAAGATGTGGTGCTTATCAACACAAAAGACAACACAACTGAACAAGCCCGCAATAGCTGTGTCACACTTAGAATAACAATACAGTGTTTCGCAATTTCCCTGTGTGCTTTCATTGCTCGCAGTAAGATTATATTTAAAAAATATTTCAAGCCAGATTTTTCAATTTCGTTTGTACCGGTACAATATGAATACATTCAGCACCCCCAGGTTTCATTCTTGCATTGTGGAAATGCAGAATATATTTCTGCACATGAATGCAAAGGGCATTTTCTCCTGTGGATGAACAATCACAAATTTATTCGTGGCGCTATTCACAAGAAGATATAATAAACTCTCGCTCTCTTAGTGGCTATGTCCCACTTTGTTTACTTACATTATACTGCATACTAAATGTGCTTACTTGCTTTCATGTAAACACTGTAGTTAAAAAAAAGACCTTTTTTCATCACAACAAGAAGACGTTTGAGGTACTATTATTTTTGGGTGCACTAATCTTGCATACTGTAATGGGTAGTATGCAAATTTTGACATGGATCTCCTTTGAATAAGTGCATGAATACAATTCTCACTCAGCAAATGCTCTCATCTTCTGATTGTGACTCAGCCATCTGGTGACATTGACACTGAGCGCTGATATCACCTAACCTTGATCCCGAGTGGGATAGTGAGAAAAGGGCCGTCACCCCATTCTGGCTGATTTGAAATTCTGAATAAGTAAATTATGAACATTGAGCAAATTAAGCAGCCTGCGCCTTGTCCGCCTGCCAGAGTGTTAGACAATATGCTTGACAAACGAGAGAGCTTCACATCCACGCCCTCCTCTCTTGTCATCTCGCTCTCACTCCCCAGAGAGACGTCATTTAAAGAGCCCTGGAATAAATCAGGCCGATGAAATTTAAGACGTGGCTCTCAAGTGGATTGCTGTGCACAAATCAACTTGCTTTTTTAGGGTTTTACATTCATAAATTAGATTAAACTAAATCATGGACCATCATGAGCAGGGCTCAACAATAAAGATTTTTTTTTCTGCCAGTAACAAAGCAAAAGCATTGTTCAATACATGGGAGAAAACCAGCTGTTTAAATAGAGCACATGTAGGCTACATAAGCAGGGATGCAGAAATAAAATAAAATAAAATAAAATAAATACAATTAGAAATATTAAATAAAAAACATTTTTAAAACATTACAAATAAAATATTAGAAACATAATTTAAAAATCTACTAGTCAATTTAGAAAATGCAACTTTTCAATTTCTATTATGAAAAATAAATTATTTTTTAATTTGCTAAAGATTACATGGAAACACCTTCCAATAAGGATTCAATTGTTAACATTAGTTAACTATATTAGTTAACATGAACTAAAAATGGACATCTATAGCATTTATTAATCATAGATAGTTTATTTCAACATTTATTACATTTAATAGAATTATTAATTAAACTTAAACTGAGCGACAGATGATGGCAAAGGTTATGTAGAAATAGGACAAACGAGTGTGAACAAAGAAATATTGACCAAATCTAGGTAAGATGTAGGGACAAAACACACACCTGATATGCCTGCCTGATATGATGTGTTGGCTGATCACAAACCATCCTTGCATGCTAGAATCACTCACAAACACCTCTTCTCTTTATCAGCCTCTCTCTCTAATTGCTGTAGTTGTTCACTCCTCTCCAAACATCCTGAAATCTTCCTTTCTCTGTCCCGGCACAGCCTGCAGGGGATAGCTGCTTGAATGGGTACTGAGTGGTCAAAACTGAATAAATCCAATTTCTGTGCATAATGGAATTTCCGTCTGGACTCACCCCAAGTCAATCCACTCTCCGGAGACCTCTGCACAAGGTGGAAAAAGCAGAATTAGAAAGCGGGTAGCCACCTCCATTAAATGTAGATTCATTCAATTCAGTTAATTACAGTTTAAGGATTGGAAAACAGGAAATGCCTACTGTAAGTATTCCTCATGATCTCTGGCAAACACGAAAGCATTTACACTTTTTTAATCCTATAAATTTCCTAAGCATGAATTGTATAAATAAATGGTAAATGTTATGAATCAACTACAATACATAACATTTTATGCTTAAGTGGTCATGAACAAAACTTTTTAAGGCAATACTTTTTTTCTCTTCCCAGCAGCTTCATCAGGGTTTCCAGTGACCCCATAACCTGTCTAGTTACATTCACCAACTCAGAGATCCAATTTAGGGATGTGACCTAATCTTGGCAAGGTGTGGGTGATGTTGTCTTGCAGCTGACCTTTCCCTTCATACTAACTGCTGTAACACACTTTGTAGACAGACTATTAAAACTGAACCTTCTCCTCACTGGTGTCTACATGCAGTTTTGGCGTGACTCGTGGACATCTCTGATAAGTTATTTGTGTTCACAGACTATCTAGCACACAATACTGCTAAATGTATCTCAGCAGTACTTAGAAAAAAATGACTAGCTCAAAATTTTGCACAGGTTGAGTATAATTGCTATTCCACAGAATTCCTGTTTGGAGGATTTGAAGTGATTTTGTAAATAAAAGAAATAAACCATTGGAACTAAACTGGCAAAAGAATCGCTATATACTGGTACATGACCAGGTCCATTGCTACCCACAAACACACACACACACACACACACACGATCACCATCTTAAGTTACAGAGACGTCCCACTGGAGTAAATGGGGTTAAGTGCTTTGCTCAAATGCACTATAGTTATGTTTCACAGATCACCCTCCTCTATGGTGTATGAACCTACAACCTTTCAGAGCCCAGACCTTTAATTACTAGGCTACAAAGAATCATATGATATACAGTACTTGATAATATTAATTTAAAGTTTAATGTAAAAATCAAGTTGTACATTACAGTAACTTTATACCGTACACTTTTAAATATAAAGTTTCATGCTATAGAAAAAGAATTTTGGTGAACAGTTCTAACCTTTTTAATTGCCTTTTTAATAACTTTAATAATAATATTTTTTTACTATAAAGAACATTTTGTGCAATGAAAGTAACATGTTTCATGAAACCATCAATGCCAATTAAGAACCTTTATTTTTATGTGTGCAGTTAAGGGGAGTTTCCGTGGCTTATTGCTTTTATAAGATGTTGCCAATTTGGTAACCGTCACCAATGTTGAATAAATAGTGACATACCGTATATTAATCAGAACAAACACTTTCTTAAATACATGTAAATACATGCTGTTCCAAAACAAGTATGATTTACTTTCATCTGTGAAACACAAAATAATATATATATATATTTTTTTTTAAGGTGTCAGTGATTTAATTATTTTTTTTCACATTGTTGTTTTGGACCCAATTGACTTTCATTATAAAAACTATTCAAAACATTCCTTAAAATATTTTCTTTTGTGTTCCACAGAAGAAATGTGCAGTCACCAGTGTTTATCTGTATTTTACAAGGACTTAAGTTAGAATTTAAGGGCAAAATTATTAATTTTATAAACATGATTATATGACACTTTTCAAAATCTCAGTGTAAAAAGAAAATGAAATCAGTCTGAATTTTGTCACTTTTAGTGTTTGATGGCTATATAAAAAAAACTGACAATTGTAGTCAATTAAATTGCTATCTATGTCAGTATACAGTAATAAAAATCAGGAATAGGAGAACGACATTGAACAGATAAAAGAAGTGTAAATAGCCTAAAGCTATGATTCTCAGTGGAGAACTTGCATAGATGAAAAAGTTTAAAGACTTAAATCTGAGAAAAGAGGAAGAAGCCAGGGATGAAAGAGTAGAAAGGATCGGAGAGAGTCGCTACGGGTTTTCTGGGACCATGGCTTCGAAACTGAAGAAGCTGCCAAAAAAAAGGGAAGAGATTGAAGAGATTTATTAGCACATTCTTCTGATGACCTAACCTGGAGCTACAGACAATTGAGTTCATTCAATTTATTTTTTAATTATAATTATATAATAATTCAGAATGTGCCAACTAACAAGAGATGGGAATTGGACCAAAATGCATAATTCTCTAAAACCACCAGAACAAGCAATACACATGAGTGATAATCTTGCAGATACTTATGCACTATCACACGCACATACCCGAAGCTCTCAGTAAACACAGCATTATCGGTACAAATGAAACTCGCATTCAGACAGCCTGTTATTGTGAGGGCTTTTCAGCAGCCTCTGCAATCACACAACAATGTGGCACTCTCAATAAAAGAGCAAGTGTTTAAAAAATGCACCCTTTTATAGAGAAATATTGGCCTTTTCAAAAAACCGTCAGCAGGAAATATCTTTATGGATAAACAAGACAAACGAGAGCCCGACGTTGGTTACTGGGTTCAGATTTGATTTATAAAATCAAATAATCACTATATAGAAATCCATACATGTGGTTCCTAAATGCATTCATGGTTCATGTCTGACAAGCTGGCTAAATATATGATTTACTCTGTAGAGTTTGTTGTTTTGAAATGTGTAATTTCTTGATACAGTACAATTTCTAGTTATGTACCGCTTCATTGAAACCAGATCGCTATGCCAGAACCGACCAGCAGAACGCAATCCAATTACTGTTTCTATGGTGAAATCAGTTGAGCAAAATAACACAAAGCCAGACAACAAGAGGAAATCATGCAAATTAGGTAATTAAAATACCAAAAAATGAACAAATGAGAAAGAGGAAAAGGTTGCTGACCTAAATACGTTGCTGCAAGAAGACATGAATACTAACTATTATTGTTTTTTTTACATTTGCTGCATTGTTGAAAAGGATGCTTAAAAAAATCAAACAACAGATATGATTTCTGAAAATAGTTACATAGAATGAATCAATCAAATCACCCCTTTCTGAGAGTCTGAAGCCAAAAGAGAAAGAATGAATGAAGCCAGAATGACTGAAAGAGCGAAAAAAAGAGCTGAGATGTGGAAAAGAGAAGGACTGCAAATAAATATAATGAATTGGTTGAAACCATGAAATGTTTTGACATGCATAGTTTTTCACATGAAAACACTTTCAAAATGAATGCATTTCAACCTTTTACCAAATGATAAAACTACTAAGCATTAGCGCACACAGCACACCAACTAACCATGATCTTCTACATCTTCAAGTCAGAGGCAGGTGGCATTTATACATGTAATACACTTGCAGCTAATAAAATAGTTAAATTGATATACAGACAAACCCCCAACCCCACCCCTGTAATATTTATACTTTACTTCAATTTTGACTCCATGGGGTCTTTCAAAAAATTATATAAAAAAACATAAATCAGTCCAGCAAAACATCTTTCTGTGCAAATTTGTTTTTTTATTGGTGTGCAAATGATGCAAAATGAAACATTAAAAAGCCGATTTGCCAAGGGTTGAAGGTTTGTTTTTCATTTCCATTTTTATAGCCAAACACACTCTACATCAGAACTGAAAGAGAAAAGGGCGGTTTTTGCAACTAATGTTATGACAGAAAACTTATGTTTGCTCAAGCTAATATTATGCTTAAAATACTGTAAATGTAAAAACATCAAAGAGTATTGTCATTCATCAAAGAACCAGTGCTTAGAATTCTGTGTAGGCTGCAGGCAAACTTGAAGTGTGAAAGATCCCAGCATGCATTTGAGAGCATTCGCCTGCAGTTATAGAATATGCATGTGCCATGTGAGAAGCTCATATGAATATGACTCATGTGCAAATATAAGGCAAACACTGTGCTTTTCAAATGTGACCTTGACAAGCTAGTGGGACAAATGGCTCATAGGCTTGAGTGAACAGGTCTCACTATTCCTTATACAAACACACTGCAATAAATTCCTGGAGTAGTTGTACATAATACAACAAGATACTGTAGCTGTTGAGAACTGCAGACATGCATCCTCACCTAAAGAGAATGATGGTAGTTGAGGTGCCACTGAGATCTTCCACTGGGCATAAAAGCCTTTAAAGGTATAGTTCACTCTAAAAATGGCATTTCTGTCATCATTTATTCACCCTCATTCCAAATCTGCATGATTTTTGTTTTATCTGTGCAACTGAATGATTCTTCTGAATCAGTCTCTTAATGAACCATCTGATCCAGTTCACAAAATCAGTTGAAATTATTCACTTACAAAATCTGACTCAGTTCTCAATGACTCAGTATGGTCACTCTTAAATGTCATTCCAAATCAGGATAACTCAACACAAAAATATTTTAATATTTTCAAATGGTTTTTCCAGATGCAAATACAGCTAATGAGGATCGACCAAAAAGAATGTAAAATTATCATTAAAGTGGTCAATAAGAGTCTGTGCACTATATTTGAACTCGTCTGAATGAACAACACATTCTTCAAAATGGGAGAAATATCATGGGAGTCATACAGGTTTGGAATGACGTGAGGGTGAGCAAATGATGACAGAATTGTAATTTTTCATGTAAACTCTCATTGACTGACTGAGTTTTTACAGGAGCATGTGTGACAATACTGAATTGCTGTCAAGTAAAGACAGCTAAGCAGAGGGGGTTTTCAATAGACAGGGCAAGAGATGCTCGGAGCTGGGTAATCGGTTAATCGTCCCAGTCAGTGAGCATATGAGAGTCACACACATTCGCAGTTTGAGCATCCATTCACCGAACTCATTGTGTAGACTATTACTGTTTCTCTCTCGTCCAGTCAAAAGCACTGTGCCAGCCATTCTATACGAACACGGTCTGATTACAGGGCCTTCTGAAAAGACACACAGGAGGCTCATTTACGGCCTCTTCAGCGAGCCCAGGCAATTTCTCAAAGACACAAGCTACTGCTTCCTCAATCATAGTCACACAGGCACACTGATCACGAAAATACAGAAAGATGGAAAGCAGACTGCTGAAGAAGAGG